TTTCCCTACCTCATATTTCAAATTTTCCCTAGCGTCCAGATCAGGCAGAGCTATGGATAGTTCCCATAGATCTATTTCCAAAGTAGTTCTCTCGCGATATGATGGACACGGGCCAGTGTCCTTGCAACACAAGCAATTCTGGAAACGCAGTTCCCTCAACGAAGGAAGCTTCAATAACGCGGCAGAAGTAGTCCAGAGATTGGTGATTCTTGTCTCACACATCGAGAGACGCAACAAACTCGGCATGCAAGAGAAGCAGTCATGCTGCAAACTAGTGAGTGAAGTGCAAAAATCCAGATTGAGGGTGTGTAGCCTCATAAATCTTCCAGCCATGTTGAGCTTTTGGATTTGATTAGACCTTAAGTTAAGTACTTGGCAAGCCAAGCCACCCCGGCATAGATCACTAAGGCAAAATAAATCAGTCAAGAAGTTACGAAGATAGTTGAACAATTTCCTTAAAACAACAAAAATGTTCACTTCATTGATAAATATTGGAATGAAGAACTCACTACAAAATAGCATTAATCAAGCATATGAACATTTTCTACAGTTAAACACTTGAGACCTCCAAGGAGAAACTTATACCGCAAAAGCTCCTTCCTCGATGAGATGTCATGGAGATCGACAACTCGGAGCTTCGAATCAATTGAACGTGTCAAGGCCACAAGGCATTCATCGCTCAAGACGCAATGTGATTCATGAAGTACATCGACTGCTTCAATCCCAGAGCTTCCACTGTCCATTAGGACATCTACTAGTGGAGAAATATCATCATCCTTTAGCTGGGCCAGTAAAACAGCCACACTAAACTTCTCATTCTGCTGTCTGTCAATCTTGACCTGAATGGTTATGAGAAAAGGAGGGGTAGTTTTTTTTTTTTTTTTTTTTTTTTTTTTTTTTTTTTTTTTTTGCTGTTATTCTTTGTTAATAGCAATGAGAAAAGAGAGAAAAACTAAAATGATTTTTTTTTTTTTGCCGGTCAGTATTAAATGGCAGGGTATTAAAGTTCTAAGTGAATGAATTCTAATAAATGAAAGACCTTAGAAAACCATGATTGTACGGCTGAGTTAGGTAGCACCTTATGCTTCTTGCAGGAACTAAGATACCTAGTACACAGAAAAGGATAAAATGAAGAGGAATCAACAGATAATATTGAAGAAGAAGCAGAACAAACTCAACGAACTGTGAACTTTGTAATTCTATAAACAGAAATAGAGCATGCCACAAGATACCGAAAATTTTACATTAAAAAAATAAAAATAAATAAAAAGAAGAAGAAGAAGAAGAAGAAGAAGACGAAGCTACTACCCCATTCTTGAATCTTAGTCCCTGTTCAAAAATCCATAGAGAATCATTATACTGTAAAATTTTGCCATGATTTGGTGTGTGTCACTTATCTCATTGCAATTTCATGACCCGAATGCTAAAATATGATACAATAGAAGCTTTAAAATCCTATTGCAGAACTCACAAATCCAAAAGAAATGCAAACCCAGAAAAGGGGAGAAGCCAAATATCTTTTCATCTTGCTTAAACAAATTGAGGGGAAGATATATAGTCAAGTATTTTGCATGGAAAAAATATAAAAAGCAACCAAACTTTTCTCTTCATGAGTCTCAACCAAGAAAAAGAGATAGTCATATCCCACTCCTCATATCCCAAATAGTTTCACCAAAACTGACGATTAATCCACCAAATCCAACACCAACTCGTCAAACTAAATCTTCCAAACTTCTTTTTGATATATATATATATATATATATATATAATCTCATACAATTCAAAGAGAAAAACCAACTGATTTGAAGAGTGATCACAAACATACCGAGCTTCTAAGCTGAGGAAACTCATAGCCGTTGCTAGTTTTCTTTTTTTTTTTTTTTTTCCTTTTTCTTCTTTTTCGCTTCCACAGCAAAACCAAAGCAACAAAACTACATAATACAGTACAAAAGAGATGCAAACTTATAGAGGAGTACAGTGCCGTACTTTGACAAGAGAACAAGGTCGAAGAGTGTACGGAAAAGCAAAATAGTGACGTTTTTAATGTCTGAAACACATTTTCAAAGGATAAACATGAGCTTACGAAGAACCCCATTTTAATCAACCGACGATCATTGCTCGTAAATTTCCTTTGCCCATTGGGTTGGAGAAAACGACTAAAGAAGAGATGAAAATCTAGTCGACGTATTCAAAATTTGAATTATTCTCGTAAAATATTTTTTTAAAGAAAAATATTATGAAAAATTATAAATTATAATTTAGAATTAGTGACGAATACGAGAATAAATATTCTTCCGTATTTGTTTATTTACACGTAAATTTAAAAAAATTTAAAATTTAAATTATAATTTTATTTAAGTTTATATTCTTTTATAAAAATTTTGTAATTAGAATTTAAGATTAAAATTTGAGTTTAAATTTCTCCTTTAACTCATGTTCTTAAATAGTATTTTTTTTATTCTTAAAAACGTTATAATTTTTTTATTTTAATTCTGATTGAGATTATTTTTTTTATGCATTCACAATAAAAAAGACAAATAAAACCTTATCCATATATCATATTAAAATTTTTCATATCATTAAGTTTTTATTAAAATATTATTTAAATATAAACTCAAATTTTAACTCATTTAAACATAAATTTAAAAAAATTCTTATCTCAAATTATAATTTAAATGTATACAACTAAACACAAATTTAAATTATAATTTTAACTCCAATTATAATTTAAATTTAACAATCATCGTAAAATTGAACGAGCCTTAATCCACCCAGACCCACACATGTTGGGCGGGCCCACCTCTTTGAAAACGACACGTTGACGCGTTAGCTCCACGTAATGATTTGGTGGCAGAAAGTATCCACATTTAAGAGGGAAAATATATATTATTTCTTTTTTTGTTTGAAAATAGTTTTTTTTTATGGAAATTTCCTTCAGACTGTGTAGTTCTTTTTTTTTTGAATCGAAAAAGATAGTACTTGAAAATAAAAGTGCGTTTAAAATTCGTTTCAAAACGTTTTTATTTTTTATATGAAAATAAAAATGAAAACGTTTTCATTTTCATTTTGAAATCATTTCTGAAAATGCGTTTGGTAGTTTTATTTTAATATTGATTTCAGTTTAAAAAAAACTGAAATTGTGTTTGGTAGTTTAATTTTTAAAAATATATAATAACATTTAAAATTAAAATATATTAAATAAATAATATTATTAATATATTATTAGATCAACCATTACGAGAGTACTCGAAAAGCAAGTAAGTGGATTCCGAAAAGTCTCTCTTAGGACTTTTTCTCGAAACAGGTGGTGTGCATTGCAGGAGCTACAAAATTCTGCAGCTATGGACAACTCTTTGGAACCGTAGGAGATTGAACAAGGACGCGACGGAGATTGAAGCCGAAATGTGAGAAAAAAGCGCTTCATACTTAGCTTTGAGAGAGTTCTTGATTGAAGAACCATAGTAATGTTGTTGTCTTCTTTGGATTTATGTTAGAAGAGTATTGGTATGTGTTAGAGAGAAGATTGCATCTGTTTTGCAATTATTGAACTCAGAAAGAGAAGATTTGTTGAAGCTTTTAAACATCTACAGATGACGGACCATAATCTGCCAACATACAAGAGCAAGATAGAGACTTAAACCTGCAAATCAGATCTCATAACAAAAAAACCGCCAAAAACTTACTCCCTCCATCTCTGCAAATCAGATTTGCTGCCACCACCTCCACATCCCAGCTCTGGCGAGCCCAGGCAAATCCCACTGCCAACTTCACGGCCAAGCTCCTGCAAGCCTAGGGAATTGCGTTGCCACCTCCGCGGCTGTGATTCTGTGAAAACAGCGTCCGAGAACGGTGTCTTGAGTTCGGGGAAGAGAGAGAAACGTGGGGAGAGGAGAGAGAGAGAGAGAGAGATCGGAGAAGAGAGCCAGAGCGAAAGAGAGAGAAAAGGAAAATAGAGAAAATGAAAACGGTCTTAAACCGTTTTCAAATTTTCAGAAAAAGACAAAAACATTTTTATTTTTAATTTTTAGAAAATTTTACACCAAACGCGTTTTGTGGAACCATTTTCATTTTTCATTCTCGAAAACCGTGAAAAATGGAAACAAAAAGGGAAACAAACAGGCCCAACAAGTTGCTTGTCTAAACAATAATAATATTAGGGATTAATAACAAGTTGCCATAGAAATAATAATAGTAATAATTTAATAAAAAGTTGCAAAATTCAAATGAATTACATTTCTGGTATTTTATTACCTTGTGTCATTGAGTTGACTAATAAAAAGCTAAATAACGGATAAATTTTTGCCATAACATATTGGGGGAAAAAAAACCTACCGAGAAGACATCAAATTGTTAGATTACATCAAAATTCTGTTAATTAAATTTCCTCAAAAAAGTTATTCATTAAAGAATATAATAATTCTGTAAGATTTGAAGAAAATTGAACAAAATTTTGTCTACCTATAAAGTTTCTTTTATTATTCTACCATATCATTCTCCAATTAATGGAAGGGAAATTCAAATATGAAAAAGAACCCTCTTTTACAATAGGAAAATAGTAGAAAAGAAAGTATATAAGTCAATTTTTAGTTTTAAAAATTAATAGGTCATAACTTGTCAAGTTATGGTTCATAGCCAGACAAGTTATGGATAATTATGGACAATAACATGTCAAGTTATGGTTCATAACCAGACAAGTTATGGACGAAAATAACAATTTAGCCTATTTATTAACTTATGTAAACTATTAACCTATTAATTTTAATTCATCTCAAGTCTTGATCTATTTTCTTCTTTCTCCCTTTCTTTACAATACTGTGACCACTGTCCGTGATTAAATATTAAATTCCCCACCGAGATTGATAAGAGAGCTTATTGGGCTTGTAAAACTAACGGGCTTCTATGAGATTGGGTTTGGTTGTAGTCACTCCAGATACATAACAGGAGCTTTACACAAAATGCCACCACCACACTCGAATTAATTTTTGACAAGGAAAAAAATATTGTAGAAAATCAGACATTAAAATATTTAGAATCCTAAAAATGATCCTAACATTGTCATATCTATATACGGCAGTAATCTACCGGTGACAACGGTAGTTTACCATATTAACGACAGTGTCATGTCGGGATACTAAAGATAGCCTGCCGTAGTCTTGAAAATTTCGGTTACTGGTAATAGCCTACCATACTACTATATATTTCTCCCTGGAATACTAAAAAAAATCGGGTAATCTTGACAAATACTCTTTAAAAGTGTATGAATCAAGATTTTTACCATTTACTCTTGATTTATAATCTTTTTAGTCATATAATTATACTAACAAAAGGGTATTTATTAAGAATAAAAGATAAAAATTCAGACTCGTGTACTCTTAAAGATAAATTATGCAATTTTTTCAAAAAGGTCACAAAAAAAGTTTGCCAAGGTGACTGGCAAGGTCACTAAACTTCAACCTCTTGTGGCGGTCAACGATGTCACAAAGCTATGGACCTCCAATACGGAAGGGAGTTGCAGGGTCGCAGATCTTGCCACGAAGACCTCATGCTGTGATTCTCTGACCAGCGATTCCCGAACAATGGGAGAGAGGAAGTAAGATGAAACAGAAAAATACTTGGCCATATTTGTTTGCATGGCTCAATTAATGCGACAAAATGTGGAATTTATTGTAAGAATTTTTCAAGGGCGGCAAAGATTATACTATGGGAAATTTTATTGACACCCCTTTATTTTATAAAGGCATCCCATAATTAGTAAAATGACTAAAAGGGACAACTTAAAAGAAAATAACAAAACACCATCCCTCTTCTCCAATACACATCCCTGATTGTTTATTTTCTGCGTCTTTTTCTTTTTTCCCTCCTCACTCTCTATCACACATTCACACCTCAATTGCTCTATATCTATCGTTCTTGTCGTTGTGAAGGTAATATTTATCAATCTATTGAAATGAGTTTCCAGCAAAATTACTGAATACATCATTATATATATATATATATATATAAGGTCTCTGATCCGAAATTACAGTGTATAATTCTATATAAATCGTGTATATTTACATGTAAAGTCGTGTATGTTAAGTTATAAAAAATGATAATGTATATTAATCCTCAAAACATGTATTTTTTATAGCAATTAGTGAACACATAGCATGAAAATATGCATATTGGCTTATTTGTTGTATTTCATGTTAAATATACACGACTTTACGTGTAAATATACACGATTTACATGTAAATATACACGATTTATACAGAATTATACAACTGCCGTTCCGGTCAGGCACTTTCCAAGTGTCTTACCCGAAACAATTCTTATATATATATATATATATTTATATTTGTTTGATATTTGAATCTATTTTTAATCACATATATATATATATATGTATGTTTGATATGCGTTTATTAGTTTTCTAAATACAACAACTCTATCTTAACATGAGTAAATGATAAAGAAAAAATAAGAAAAAGTTGATGGAAAGAGGGGGAAAAAATTCAAGAGAGATCTTGTGTTGTTTGAGTTTACAATTTTCTCTTTGAAACAAAAGAATTTTGATGTCGGTGATTTGAAAAAACATCCAAGTTATGTGGGTTGGATCCAAATTCGGTCATTACTAATGATTTTTTTTTGTTTTGTTTTTTTTTTAAAAAAAAAAAGCTTTTTGGGGTATACTTACAATAAGACAATTTAAAACTATTTGGTATGTGAAGGTATAACTGTAATACAAATTTTATATTCTTTAAATGTGGTACCTCAATGAAAAATGGGGTGTCAATATAATTTCCCTTATACTAATAGTTAAAAAAGGTTTGTCTAAAAAAATAGTTATATCATTCATTACCCAAAGCGTCCATTTAATTTTATCATTATACATATACTGGGTCTATAGCTTATTAATGATGTAAATTAGGTTGAATATCATTTTAAAGTCTAGTTATTTACTTGTACTATTTTTATGCATAAAAAAATATTTAAGTTTCCACAAATGAATTCCGAGAGAATTTTCTAGGGAGTTTTCTGATTCACCCCTATTTAATATTTATGACCATCTGTGGTATTCACACTATACCATAAGTAGATTGCTAGTTATTACTTTTTAAAAGGGGAAAA